GAGATGCCGGGGATTGAACCTGGGACCTTCTGCATGCCAAGCAGAGGCTCTTCCACTGAGCTGCAGCCTCTCTTCACAGCTCCCCAGAGTCTCAGGCTGAGGTCTTTCCCATCACCTCCTGCCTGGTCCTTTTTAACTGGAGATGCCAGGGATTGAACCTGGGACCTTCTGCATGCCAAGCAGAGGCTCTTCCACTGAGCTGCAGCCTCTCTTCACAGCTCCCCAGAGTCTCAGGCGGAGGTCTTTCCCATCACCTCCTGCCTGGTCCTTTTTAACTGGAGATGCCAGGGATTGAACCTGGGACCTTCTGCATGCCAAGCAGAGGCTCTTCCACTGAGCTGCAGCCTCTCTTCACAGCTCCCCAGAGTCTCAGGCGGAGGTCTTTCCCATCACCTCCTGACTGGTCCTTTTTAACTGGAGATGCCGGGGATTGAATCTGGGACCTTCCGCATGCCAAGCAGAGGCTCTGCCACTGAGCCACGGCCCCTCTTTACAACTCTCCAGGGTCTCAGGCGGAGGTCTTTCCCATCACCTCCTGCCTGGTCCTTTTCCACTGGAGATGCCGGGGATTGAACCCGGGACCTTCTGCATGCCAAGCAGAGGCTCTTCCACTGAGCCACGGCCCCTCTTGACAGCTCTCCAGAGTCTCAGGCAGAGGTCTTTCCCATCACCTCCTGGCTGGTCCTTTTTAATGGGAGAGGCCGCTGGGGGGACGGAGCCTGGGGCCTCCTGCAATATTTGAGCGGATCTGCTCCACCGCTGAGGACCTTGGTTGTTCAGACACCGAAGTGGCCTGGCGGGAGGAGCCGGGCTTTCTCAGGTAGAGGCCCAGAGATGGTCCAGAATGCCCCCCCGGGGGGGGGGCTGCTTACCTGGCAAAGGGGAAACCTCCTCTCCTTGTTAACCTCTTCATATTTACTGGGGGTGGGTGGGTTATGACCGTTTAAAAAGCGGGCCCGTGAGCATGTAAAAGAACACGAGACCAGGTCAAGGGGGGGGGGGAGACAGCTCTGGTGGGGGGGGGCTCCTCTGCGTGCGAGGCGCAGGGAGGCCCAGTGCGGGTGGAGAGGTGTGCCTGAACTCGAACCCAGAGGAGGTGGTGCTGTGTGGCCTGATCCCTGCGTGGCCGTTCCTGAGGAGGGGGTTGGGACAGGCACAGGCGTTCTTGAGGACAGGAAGTTGGGGGTATCCCATTTCCAACCAAGGCTCCCTCTAAGATGAGAGGTTTTGCGAGCAGGAATTCTACTTGGTGAGCGCCTGGCATTCAAGTTGTGACAGAGCGATTTGGCTGCTGCGTAAATTCGTTTGCTCTGGAGCCACATCCCTTCCTGAGCTGGGACAGCTGTCAAGAAAATGAGGAAATGTCTACTAGCCCTTTATTCGGTTTTAAGATTGTATTTATATTAATGGATGTGATTTTATCTTACTGCATTGTTGAAATTTTACTCTGTAAGCCGCCCTGAGCCAGCCTAGGCCGGGAGGACGGGATTTAAAAAATCCAATAAATAGAGAAATAAATAAAGATGTGTGAGAGCCGGAGGCTAAAGAGCTGTGAGCCAGCTCACACTTACTCAGCTTAGAGGGAACACTGCGGCCATGTCAGGACAGCTGGTCTTCGGAGCCTGGCCGCTGCTGCTTCACAGGATCTAGAGGGGAGCCCCCCCACCCCCTCCCCTCTGCTGAGCCTGCCCTTCCTCCCCCCTCTCCCCCCCCGGCAGTATTGGAGCTGATCTCTGCTGCCAACGGGGACTCTGATGGCATCGGTGCCCAGATCGACACGTGCTTCACCCAGCTGACCGGGGAGCCCGCCAGTTCTGCACCCGTCAACGGCGCCACGGGCCACGCTCCTGCCACGGCGCCTGCAGAAGGAGGAGGCACAGGTATGGTCAGCCATGGCAGCAGGTGCCACCTCCCCCCTCCCACTCGGGTTCCTCCGGCGGCTGGTTCACAGCACCACCCTGCTCTCCTCTTCCTCTCCGCAGGTCCCTCCGCGTGGTCCGACTCCTCCGCGGGGGCCCCGCCCAGCCCCCCGTTCCAGCCGGGGCACAAGCGGACGCCGTCGGAGGCGGAGCGCTGGCTGGAGGAAGTGGCCAAGACAGCCAAGGCCCAGCAGCAGGCGGCCGTTGCCGTGGCGGCGATGCCTGCCCCTCTGCCCGTGTTCCCCCTGAGCTACGACGCCCCCGCCCCGCCCATGGGGGTGTTTGTGCCCCCCCACGTCCCGCCGGCGTTCGTGCCCGTGGCCTCCGCCTACCCGCCGGCCGTGCCCTACGTGGCGCTCCCCAGCGTGCCCGTGGTGGGCATCACCCCCTCCCAGATGGTGGCCAACGCCTTCTGCTCCGCCACGCAGGCCCCCGCCACGACCTTGGGGGCCAAGGCCAGCCCCTTCCCACAGAGCCTCCTGGGGCCGGTGCGGCCCAAGCCCAATGGGACAACGTGGCCCCCGGAGCCGAGCCAGCCGGCAGGGCCCGCCCCACGGCAGGAGCCCCCGGATCCCTTCGAAGCACAGTGGGCAGCCCTGGAGGGCAAGGCCCCCGCCGCCCCCAACCCCTTCTCTGGCGACCAGCAGAAGACCTTTGAGATCGAACTGTGACCCCCCACACCCCACCCCCATAGTGGCTGGACAAGGTAGACCCTTCCCACTCGCCCCTCCACCGCCCTGCTCTCGCCGGCCGACCCGGTCACCCACAGCCCGCAGGAGGG